CAATGGTTACTATAGTGGTGAGATTGGCAATTGTGATGGTGGCAGTGGTGGTGGTATTGCAAGTAATGATGGTAGTAGTAGTAGTAGTAGTGACGGTTATGTTAGTACGGTAATGATTGGTGTTGATGGTGGCAGTAATGAAGTTGTGTGATGATGGTGGTGGTGTTGGTAGTGGCAGTAGTGAGGGATGGTGGTAGTATCAGCACCAAGGCGGACCCTCTCTTAAGTGTTGTGTTGTGTTGTGGCCGTGATCATGAATGAATACCTCACTTGTCCTGTCTACTGCTGGTTTTGGATGTTGGTACCCCTACTCCTCCCTTCCCCTCCTACTCTTGCTACGAGTTTTTGTCTACGGTTGAGGGCCACTGTTGTCCTATTGTCAACCACCATTGTACTGTAATCGGTCACAGCTGTACTGTTTGGGGCCCCACGTTGTTCTGTTCTCCCGTTGTTGTAATAAGCTCTTCTCAGCTGACCACGCCTGTTATTCCCTTGTCATGGTGGTGATGGCAAATTCTGATTATTGATGACTTCTGCAAGAATCACCCCCATCCTCCTCCTCTTCATTTAGTGATCCTTTCAGTTGCTGTTGTATCTGCTACTGATGCCCCTCGTGCAGGGTTTCCAATTATTCCTGCTGTGTCTTCTGTTTTTGTTTCCACTATTGCTAATCTGTTGCAGCTACTACTCTTATTGTTACTACTGATGTTATTGTCCCTGCTGCCACTAAAGAAAACCTGTAGTTTACTTGAAATTACAACTATCGCAATTACTCAACCAAAACCCTAAGAAACTTCAAGACTGATACCGCGACCACAGCAATAATAATAATAATAATAATAATAATAATAATAATAATAATAATATCTATTGTCCTCCAGAATCATTGTACGTAAAACAAACTCAACATTTCAATGGTGCCCATCCTTTGAGCTGCGAGACTTTCATGCGGGACGCTGCAATTTGAAACTACATCAGGGGTGAGGCAGTATTCAACCAGTCCGTGATAAAGCACGGTACTGTATATTCAAACACACGAATATCACCAAATGAGTATGAAGGGCCGGCGACAATACACTACGCGTGGGCCGTCCATTAGCGCCGAGCTAGGAAACCAACACCTATTCAGCAAACACGGGAAATGACGCCATGGGGTTGGGCTACCCATGACGCAAACTACCAATCACGACTCATGTACATCATTCACCCTCAAAATACATCGGACTGAAAGGATTTCATTCACTCGTGAAGCTCGGCCACCCTCGATATCTTTCATTACTCACTCGTTTACCACCCTCCTCCCCCCTTGAAGCAGTTCTAGTATTATAAACACCATGAGTGGCAGCTGAAAGTTTCGCCTCTCCCTGACCGATGGTCCGACGCCAGCTAAGATTTTTAGATTAGGGTGAAAGAGGACAAATTATCTTGATACAGACTTCAAAGTCCCAAGGTAGACATGCAGTGTAAGATCCCAGGGCGGGAACAGCTTACCACAAGTTTGGAATCCTACAATAAATCCTCGGAAGACTGGGATCATACCATGAGTTGTAGGAAGGCGGCAGGCTATAAGTAATATGAGGGTGCAAGATCTGGATGTCATAAGTCCAGGATTTTTATAAACATGCACCATGACATATAACACAAGAGTCCAAATACCCCAGGACGACACAACAGAGTTCTCGCTCTTAAGAGAATCGAACGGTAGATTGGAACTGAGGAAGATTTCTGTCTATTAAGATTAACAAAGTCTATTTGGCAACATCAGTACAAATATATTTTATGTTCTACAGAACAGCACAGTTTAAGGTATTACAGCACAGTACAGCTTAAGGTACAGTATAGTTTCTTAAGCGCATCATACATTGCGGTAAGTTCGGTCTATGTATTAGATAATTACATTCGATTTCAGACTGCTAAATTAATCAGTTGTCCAGTGAAGAAATAATATTATAGAGTTTGAGCCTTGAAGGACACCAAACGACATGATGGATGTAGTACAACTAAAGAATATTAACTATACTAGAATTTCAGCCGTTAGTAGTTAGTAAAAAAAATTCAAGCTGTTATAAGCATCAAACTCTCAATTAGTTGATATTATGGTAGACTTTCAGGTTGTTGTGAGATTATTAAGTGTGATTTTGAGCTGTCAGGGGAGGACATTACCCACTCGAATCAAAATAAATGACAAGGATGTGTAGTAAGGGTGAGGCTACCAGAGACGGACGATGGTTGTTTTGGGGCAGTCTCTCTGTAACTTATTCTCTGTCTGTTTGTTTGTCTCTACGTAAACAATGCCTGACTTGTACTCTCCCAGCTGTCTGTCTGTATCTGTCTATCTGTAAACAAAAGCTGCATTGACCCTCTCTCCCTTTCTTTGTAAACGATAGCTGTATCTCTCTGTGTAAAGTTGTAAACGATAGCTGTATTGAACCTCCCCCCTCTCTCTCACTCTCCAGAACCTACTCATTGAAGGATGCAGTTTCCTCTTTATCTATTTCTCTCTGTTCATCCCCCCTCTCTCTCCGACTCAGAGCCACATACTGCACAAGGGTACGCTGTGCCCTCTTTATCAGTCTATACTGGTGTCATCTCTTGTATGTTGTTAGGTTAGGTTGGGTTGGGTGCGTTAATGTTAGGTGAGGTTCTACTGGGTAGGATTAATTTACATTTGGTTGGGTTAGGTTTGGTTAGCTCACATGTGGTCAGACTAGGCCAGGTTAAGTTACATCAGATTATGTTAAGTTGGTATTAAGTTTGGCTAAGTAGGGTTAGGTTTAGTTCGACTGGGGTTTAGTGAGATTAAGTTAGATTAGGTTAGGTTTGGTTAGATTTGTATTAGGTTTTATTAGGTTAGGTCATAATGGGTTAGAAGGGTATCGAAGTGACTTGATATGGTTAGGTTAATGATTCCAAGCTTATCATCCTTCCGTCACAATGAGAATATGATACTTCACAATATATTTACCTACCTAAATTAACTTGAGTGAAACGACAGATAATTACTTACGATAGAACATAAAAGTGGCTAAACATCCGGTAACCCGAGTTAGAATCATGAGTCCTGTTGGGCTTACAGTATCGCGCCTACATTATTGAAAGGTTCAGCTCCTCCCCCCACCCCTCTTGCCCCTATGGTCCTCGCAAACATACCCTAAGATCCGCCAGTGTGTAAGTATGGGGGAGGAGAGGTGAATGGGGAATGCGTGAGATGAATGGGCCGATGTATCAGTGAATGAAATGGTGCAGAGGTGGATAGGGAATAAAAGAGAAAATGAGATGAATGGGAAATAAGTTTGGTTGAATGCATCGCTGCAGTACCACTCCGAGAATGGGACCTGGTGAGTGAAGAATGGTGAGATATGAATCAGTCTCGCCCCGTGTGTGTGTGTGTTTGTGTCAAGGTTGAGGGAATGGTGCAAAGCAGGAAAGACCGCAAAGGGGAGATGATGAGATAATAGTGAAGGGGGCTGAGGGCTGAGAAGGGAGAGTGACGGGGTGACCACTATCACTATACACTATTACCACACATCTACCACCAGCACTAACACACAAACATCGCTGCGGGTCTACAAGAATGCCATTACATTCATCACAGTACTACCATTGTACTGTTACTGCTACTACTACTACTACCACATATCCATCTCACTACCACTACACCTTCAACATATACGTCTACCACACAACCATCCCAAGTCTATTAAACTCTCACAACACTATCTCCACACAACAATCAACGTTTGCCACACTCTTACCACACGTCTTTCAAATACCTGAGTGATATTTAAATGTGCATGTGTGTGTGTGTGTGTGTCACTTTCCCTGTCTGTCTTGGGAGGTATAGCTTTACCTGTGTAGTGGATTGGCTATACCTGGACCCTTGTTATCACTGATTACCGTTTGTACAAATAAACGAAATTCAGGTGAAGCGATGAGACTCGTTGTGATATTAAGGTTACCTACCCAATCTACCGTGTTCCTTGTACCATAGTAATAGTAGAAGGTGGTTCAATGTACACTACATCCATGCTATTAGCAAAATATGTTAAAAAAGTATTGCCAAAGCATACGGATGCTGTTGTGTCCAAATTTCAACTTATCAGCTCAACAAGTGCTTGAGGTATTTCTTCGCCAAGAAAGAAAACTGAGCAACTCGTCCCTCCATTCGCGCTTCGCCAAGCGAGTGGAGACCGAGTAATAATAACAATAATAATAATAACGCTTCCTACGTCAATGATACACAAAAAGGTCAAGACAGGCAGCACAGCTGTTAGTTACACAAACTGGGTCGGGCTCTTAAATAAACACAAGCTTAAAAGACCAAAGCATCACACGGGACCATCCATATCATAAGGCCACGTCACTCGCATCACCTTGTCACTACTACTGTACTGACGTTCCCCGTGAATAAGGCAACTAAGTAACCTGACTCAACCGACGCACGTGTGACGGTCCGTTGGTTCAGTGAGTCACTTCCTTTTTCAACTTCTTCCCAGTCTGTTTATCTAGTTAGTCACAGGTGGTGGTGTTGACTTTAGTGTCTGCAAAGAGACTATTAAATTAACCACCTGAACGGCAGCAGCAGCAGTAGCATTTGTAAACACCATATATATATATATATATATATATATATATATATATATATATATATATATATATATATATATATATATATATATAATTACTCATGTAGTGCACACCAAGGTACACACTACCTTGTTTACATTTTGACGTTACTACACCACCAGCTTTTTGACACATTCGTTCCTATACTGTAAATGTTAATGCAACCTGTCGAGAGCGTCTAAAATTTGTTTCCAGTGTATAATCCAGATAGTTTTGGAAAATTTACCCAAAAAACAAAAATATTGCATTGTGAGGTGTGACTTCCTTAAGGGTGTGAGGAAGTGAGCGATAGTTTAAGAGAGTGAGACGAGCGAACAGTGTGGCTTGGTTGACTGGGTGGTGGGCTACCACCACTATGTTAGTTCCTGGCCTCACTGTGTGGCGCTCGACCTGCGTGAAGTGGGAGTGGTCTGCTCTCCGTCCTAGTGCATTACCACACCCCAACGCAAACGGACGGACAGTTGGTGACGTGTGTGTGTGTGTGCGACGCGGGTTATGACAGAATTCTGTCGGTTAATACTTATTTCATGACGTGTGGTAGTGTAAATATTTATTCACACGCACGAAAAGTTTAGTGTTTAGAACTGTAAACACCTCTCCGTCGACAGTGATACGGGTAAATCAAGAGTTTTCGAGTTAAAATTGTAATTGCAGGACATGAGTGACGTCGAGGAACGATAAAGGACATTTTTAAGCCAACGTAATATTCAGCGGGCAGACCTGAGAGCTGCGGGTACCAATTAGCCTCCAGTCAGAGCACCCCACTCGCCGCCAGTTGATAGGTACCTCGCTTGCCACTACATGCATCATCTGCTGCGTTATCCACCCAAACATATCCTACAAGTATTTTGCAATAACCGAGGTAAGGTGTTTCCACGATCTCCCTATATAAAGCTTTATTCGGTGTGTGCCAGCTGTGCTATTTAAAATTTCCTCAATATAGTTTTAAACCGAAAACTTTCTGAAACTACGAACTCCGCCACGACGTAACTACACGCTCCAATTCACGCTCAAAATAGAAACTGTATATTTTCAAATCCCAAACCAACAAGATCACCAGACTTCCTCAGTCGGGTTTACGCCACTTACGGAGTGCCTCCTCCTTTCATCCCCAACAACTGAGGATCATTTCACCAACAGGGGCTAAGGCAGACACCCCCCGCGGGCATTTAAGGTGCCTGCTGGTGCTGTCCCTCAAACAGGCTCCCCTCAGTGGTCTGACTCACCACCCTCCTCAGCGTCCTGTTCTTCACTCTACACAGGACCCCAACTATTGCCCTCCCGAGACAAGCATTTCCTCTTCTGCACTCCTTTGCTCCCTAGAAGCAAGGCCTTTCAACCAGAAGCAAGATATCTCCAGAACTCTCTACCACGGAGTAAGGCCTCTCCCTCAACCCTCTCAATCACAGGGTAAGACTCACCCGGCTCTCTCAACCACTGGTCAGAATCTGTGACCTAACACTCTTTGCCACTTGGCAGAACTATCAATTCACCACCACCAAAGACAAGAACTCCCGTTTCTACTCCTACTCCTCTCTTGCCAGCATCACCACCCAACCTACCCCCAACTTATACTCGCCGTCTTCAAGACCATCTGCTGAACCATCTTTGAGATTCTCACCCCGAGGGGAAAGCCAACAGGAACCAGAACAGTAAGTGACATGATAAATGTACATCATATTATATCAAAATAGGGACGGCACCAATGAACCAATTGTTCAGACGCCGAGCGGTAATGATAAATTAATTAGTTTTGAAAGCGAGGCGTCGAGAAATACCTTACGACCAAATTGGTTTCTTGGATCAGCGCTCACCGTAGATTCGTAGCTTAGAATAGTCTTACCCTCAAATTATCCTTGCACGGGTAAATATATTCGCCAGTGCGGCCTCAAGAGCCAAATCCGGGGACACGGGCAACCAGGAAGTCTCTACACAAGGTCAGTCGTACGGATGAACTGCCTTGTCAAACAAAAATATTCTGGCACGCAATAGATTTGTCCTAGACCAATATGACCAGTAGTTGCATTATTCCAGTATGTGTTCAGTCCCTCGTCCAGTCAGTCTCTTGACACGACGTTCTGATTTGACGCACACACCGCTAGTATGTTCTCCAGATGCACTGCTTTATAGTGATATACAACGTCAAAGGCAATCTTTTCAATAATTATAAGTTTGAGGTAGATATAGAGTATATTACAATTTGGTATACCATTTCTTTAATACAAAGAATTGCTTATTTAGACGGTCCTCAGAAAATGTTGAAGATTGAGCTTTTACTGTTGTGGAAGTGACTCAGTGTTAGAATTTCCCTGGATGTTGCGACGATAAGCTACAGCGGCCAAGTGTTTGCAGTGGTATTATAGCTGAGCTAGTGTGAACCTGGGAGTTTTTTATGTCCAAAAGAACTTAAGAATGGAGGAAACTGCAGCGGGCCATATACTGGGCAGTCTCATTTACACTCAACCCCTATCGCTCATCCATCCAAGTTCCAACCTTTGTTTGCAGCTGCTCTTCGCGGCATATTTCTTCACTTACGAAATGTCCATGACTTGACCATAAAAAAAACACCCTTTAAACTTACCTTAACGTGGCATTTGGGGTCTAAAGAGGCCATCCTTTCTACTACCTACAGTACGATGCAGCACACTAGTGACGTCATTGCAAATGGCGGTCCTATTTCCAATGAAATAAAGTTATCTCGACTATTACAGCAGCACTCTAAACTTTTATTACAAATTATATATATACCGTATCACTCTACCAACGTGGCAGAGTGTATTTTTAGTGTTTGCCTAGAACCGTCAACTTGTCCATTGTGTTATATCTCGATATACTCCATAAGCTGTATGACACTAATTGGTTATTAATGCTTTTATTTTTCTTCAGCCATATTTCATTCGCGATTATGGAAACACTTAAGGGGAAAGGGTTATACAGAGATATTTCAAATATAGCTACCTTCCGTGTGGGCGGTCGACCCTCACCTTGTTGCTGCTCCACCTTTTCATACCTCACGGGCGACTTGGCACCGCATACCCCAATTACTTATGTCATTTTCTGTCTGTAGATCCACCAAGGACGTTTAAGTCTTCTTAACTGCCTCGCCACATATTTCTAACGTCCACATGGATGAATTTACCGTACGAGGAACTTGCTCACATATTCATCCATCGAAATGGCGTGGTCAACCGAAGGCGCATTCATTTGTGAGTAAGAAGTGAAATTGTAGAGGATTAAAATCGTTTGTTTTTATATTAATTGAAAAATATCAATTAAAATTGTTTATCTAGTTGTCTGCATTTACTCACGCACCAACCAAAGTCAGAGAACCAGAGACAACGATTAATAGAGACTGGAGAAATCACTGTTTGTCAGCACCTTGGTTTAAAATGACCAATAGATATTATTCTTTCCCTCTCTTTTTATGCGTCCAGTATGATTATGGACAATTTTACGAACATGTGAACTGTAAAAACGGTTGTAGATATTCGAAACTGTATTGATTTTTATACAGTATGGCGTTTGGGTGGCAAATGTGTATTTTTCAAGTTATTTTGACTTTTCGACGGCACTTACGAAATTACAATTTGGAGGGATTTAAGTTCACTATAACAAGTTGACGGGATATATTGTAGTATCAGCGGTAGTCATGGTGTCACGTGATGATACACCTGCGCCTGCCCAAACTATTGGATTTGAATTGGTCAGTCGTAAGATGTCTTCAGTGTCAATGGTGTTCCCAGTGAGAATGGTAAACCATTCACCGTGTTTTAGAAAATTACGCTGCTGCAGTTGCCATTTTCATGGCCCATGGTGTTCTGCAAACTTCCCTAAAGTGTCTAAAGTGTAGTGCAGTTGTGAAAATATGTCCCTGCACCCCCTGGGGTAACCGTGTCTTCAAACGGTCGCCTTATTATGACCTACAGCAAACCATCCACCATTCACGTTCGTCGTTACACGACCAATACCCATTCATTTATAATTCATTTATAAATGGTTATACTAATATTGCGACGTTGTCGTTTGGAGACACGACTTACCACAGGGGGTATAGGAACACATTTCTGCAACTATATAGACTGTCATTATCATAAGACGAACATGTTTGGTGTTGCACGAAAAGACAAAACCGCCAAGACGAAGGTTACGTTTGGTTTGACCAGTTGCTTGTGTTTTTCCTCGACAATTTTCCTCTTCTTCAAAGCCCTTTCCACTAAGTACAATCCAAATTCTAGGCAGAGAAGGGGTTAGGGTGTCATGTCTCCAACAGAAATGAAGGTTAGATTCAAGACGGATACATTTACTTTACTTTTATCCTCTTCGCCATTGATCGGCTCCTTAGCCGCTTGGACGGTAACACGTCTCTGTTACGCACTGTTGGCATGTACTGGGCATGCACTGGCTCCTGAATGTATCCGAACCTGCTCCAGTTTTGATCAAGTCTAGGCTTGAAACAGCTCACACTCGGTGCCGTCACAACACTCTCTGGCAGATTGTTCCAAGAGTTCACAATTCTCACTCCGAAAAAGTTCGCCCTTACTGTTTTCTGGGCTTGTAGCTTCTTCAACCTTGAGCTGTGACCCCTGGACGCCAGCTCCAGGTCTCGATTGAGTAGTGCCCTTTGAGATGTTTAAACACCTCAATTAGGTCACCCCTTGCCCGTCTGTAGTATAAGCTAGGCATTTGCAGGCGCTCGAATTTCTCTGGACAGCTTGATGAGGCTCCAGTATGGTGGCCCTCCTTTGGACAGTACCCCAGGCAGGGAAGCACCTCACTCTTGAATATCGTTACGACCTTATGTGACCTAATAATTTAGATTTCATAAGCTGGGTAATGTAATAATTAAAATTTATGTACATAATTCACCTTTGGTTATAATGTATGTAGTCAGAAAAGCTTGAAATAATGATATACGCCTGAATAATTAAATTTATTAGTGAAACAACTGCGACCCCATACAAATACGAAAGGTAGAAAGAGGATGCCTTTACTCTACCGCAGTTCTAAAGAATTTCACCACTGCCACACTATCAAATTCTCTGAAGTTTAAATACGCTTCCTATTTAATTGTCAAACGAGAGTACTGTAGTCTGTGCACTGATTCAATGGAAATACACTGGTATAAGCACATAACAAAAGGTCTACTATTATAATTTAACCAAGTTACTAACCTTTACTGGATGCTAGACGATGTTGCATGTAGCCCTAAATCTTTAAGCAATACTACAAGGATGTTTTTATAGTACACTAAATGTGTGTGTGTATATATATATATATATATATATATATATATATATATATATATATATATATATATATATATATATATATACAAAGGGAAAAGGGAAACATTGGAGAACCTTGGCTTTCGTCTTTAGTTCAAGAATCTTCATTTATCTTACCCACGTTTCCATTGTGGATCTACAATATATATATATATATATATATATATATATATATATATATATATATATATATATATATATATATATATATATATATATATATATATATATATATATATATATATATATATATATATTAATATACATACAGGGTTACAGGACAAAATCCCAGCGGACAAAATCCCAGCCTCTTATCCCAAAAGTGGACAAAATCCCAGTCTTATAAATAAAAGTCTAATATTTAAAAAAAACAGATTTAACATTCAAAATTCGAGTCATAAATAAAATAAAATAAATAAAATAAAATAAAATTCAGTTTCATAAATAAAAATCTCATATATATATAAAAAGAAACAAACATTTTAAAAAATTTTTAAAGTCAAATTGATACGATAAACAATATTTAATATATAAATTTATACGATAGGTCAACCAAGAACGAACCAAAATGGATGAACAGTAGGATTAAGCAACTTACGTTCTTATGCTGTTATGGAACAACAATCATAGGTGTTATTATTTTGTCGTGTTTTTTTTTATTTTGCCACACAAAAATTGTATACGATACCTTAATACAATATAATATAATATCATATTATTAATATGATAACAGGCGAATGGTCTTTACACCTAATCTTATTAATTAATCTTATATGAGACTGGGTTTTTGTCCACTTTTGGGATAAGAGGCTGGGATTTTGTCCGCTGGGATTTTGTCCACTGGCTTTTTGTCATGGAATCATATACAGGGCCGTCCCTAGGAGGGTGCGGGGCCCGGGGCAACTCAGCCACTGCGGGTCCCCAGAAAATAGATATATATGGAGTCAGATTATGCGGTCAGAGGAACCCACCCCACCAACCCCCATGGGACTGTCGCTATGGATGGTAAGGTCACGGTTGCGATGGTGGCGTAAGCCGTCAGGTCAGATTAACCAGTCAACAGGTAATGTGTCCGAGGTCACTGGGTCTAGTGCTGGGCCCAGCGGGGCTCCCCACACGCGCGGGGCCCCGGGCGGTCGACCCTGTTTGCCCCCCCTAAAGGATGGGCATATACTGTATATATATATATATATATATATATATATATATATATATATATATATATATATATATATATATATATATATATATATATACAAGTAGATCACTGTAGGTGCGCGTGATCTAGGTATATGCTGACAACCACAAGGAAGGAAGAAAACACGAAGTTCCCAAGCGCTTTCGTGTAATTCACATCTTCAGGGATG